CACCAGCCCTGGACCCGCACCAGCCCTGGACCTGCTGGTCTCCGCACCAGCCCTGGACCCACTGGTCTTCGCACCAGCCCTGGACTCGCTGGTTCTCACTCCTGCTTCCTCCATGCTGGGTTCCGCCTCATCACCTAAAACGCTGGTTCCCGCACCAGCTCCTACCATGCTGGGTTCTGCCTCAGCACCTGAAACCAGCTCCTACCACGCTGGGTTCCGCCTCAGCACCTGAAACGCTGGTTTCCGCACCAGCTCCTACCATGCTGGGTTCTGCCTCAGCACCTGAAACGCTGGTTCTCGCACCAGCTCCTACCTCGCTGGCTCCCGTACCAGCACCAAGGCTGGTCTCTGCACCAACTCCTACCTTGCTGGCTCCCGTACCAGCACCAAGGCTGGTTCCCGTGCCAGCACCAAGGCACCTGAGGTTCTCGAGGCCCTCGCTCCAGAGGTCCTCGCTCCTCCAGAGGTCCTCGCTCCTCCAGAGGTCCTCGCTCCCGAGGCCCTCACTCATCCAGAGGTCCTTGCTCCTGAGGCCCGCACTCATCCAGAGGTCCTCGCTCCTCCAGAAGTTCTCGTTCATCCAGAGGTCCTCGCTCCTGCAGAGGTCCTCGCTCCTCCAGAGGTCTTCGCTCCCGAGGCCCTCGCTCATCCTGAGGTCTTCGCTCGTCCTGAGGTCCTCGCTCACCCTCCAGAGGTCCTCGCTCATCCTGAGGTCCTCGCTCATCCCCCAGAGGTCCTTGCCCATCAAGCCGCAGTTGTCCCAGGGGTCTCCTCACCTGCAGTTGTGGTCTCCCCACTGGCCATAAATGGGTGGTCTCCTGGCCGCCCGCCAGACCTCTGGCCTGCTGATGGATGGTCGTCAGGTCGCCCCCCGGATCCTCTGTCCTGCCGTGGAAGGTCTCCTGACCGCTCACCTTGACTCAGGGGGGTTTAAGGTTTCTGGGTTTTCCCAGGTTCCTACCCGTCGGCTTTTCATTTGTTCCTTCTGCGCCCTATTTTTCTCCTTTTGGTGCTCTCCTTTGGGCTTTCAGGGGCCATCCCTTGAGAGGGGGGTCCTGTAGGGTTTCTGGGGTCTTGTCTTACATGTTGTGTTTTCCCTCATGTTTGCCTGTCACCCCTCAGCATTTCTCCTCCTGTGTTCCAGCACTGTTGCACCTGTGTCTAATCCTAATCACCGCAGGTGTCACTCATTTCACCTTGTTAGTGTCTGTATATATTCAGCTCCTTGGTGTCTTGTCAGTGTCTCTGGATTGTCCTTGTCCTAAGGCTTCATGCTCTGTATCCCTGTGTGTCCTCCTAAAAGTAAGTTTGCTGCCCCAACAGCATTTTGTTTTGTTTATTTAATTAATAAACTGTTTTTACTTATTTACTGGAGCATCATTCCCTTCCTGCATGTGGGTTCGAACACGCAACAGGTGTGCAAAGTTTTTGGATAACGTCCGCATCTGTCATAGCACTGGTGAAAATCTCCACAGCAATACTGTCTTGGTCTAGCTCAGTGCGGTCACTGTAAACAATGGCAACCTTCTCATAGATGTCATCATGGAGCACATGCATGGCTTCACCTAACTTCCTAACTCTCTGTCTCAGGTCAATTCCAAAGCTGCAGCGTGCTCTGAATGTGGTCCATATGCAGCATGCACTTCATATTTTATTTGCTCATAGCTCCAAAAGGCTGATTTTGGGTTTTTGTGAAGAATAACACCAGCTGCACCAGTTAAGCTATACCTGTGTTGGACAGCTTTAGTATTTTCTGTCCAGTGGTTAGCTCGTGCACGTCTCAAACTGGTAGATAAAGTCTCTCCACGAACCTGACCCATCGAACTGTCCTGGATATAGGACTGGGATCCTTTCTTTAAATCCTGTATCCTCGTCACTGCTTTCAGAAGCATTAACCAACAACTGGCGAGGGGAATGGCTGTATGCTGCCACCATTGCTGACTTTGGGCCTGCCTGACCTACGGTGGACACGTGCTGCATATTTTGTGCTTGTGTGTGCACTGCAGGAGCCCAATAGTTACAGTTCATGGGTGTGAGAGGGGGCTGGTACAAATTATCTGCATTTGCATTACAACTGGGCCCGAACGTGTTGATGTCACGTTCTCACGGCTATAAATGCCACCAACCAGACAACTATCCGTCTCTATGGGTGTCATGAATGGGTTGGTGGATATAGATGGCAGCGGAGTAAGCTGCCATGTCACGGCTTGTTGCTGCGTCTGCCTGCAGTACTCGTTCCTCGCGACTAGTGTTAGCTCCATGCTAGTCGGTCTTTGGTTGATTTGGTTCCTATTATACTCAGTGGCTGACTTAGATTGTCTCATGCTAGCTCTAGCATCTTCTGACATATTTGGTCAAAATGGATTTTTACTCGCATTAAGTTCCGTTATCTCTAAGTGTCCATTATTGTTGGCATTACTGTGGTACCCAGGCACCACCATGTTGCTAATTGGCTGCAGCTTCCCCTCCTCCGTTTAGTCTCTGTAGTTACTTAGGTAGTGTGTTCTGTGTTTATATGTTGTTAATAAAAAGTTCTTAAAAAAAAATAAGGGAACGCTGGCCCTGCAGCCCACAAATCAGACCAGTCCACGGGAAATCTCCAGACCATCCCGATTACCCACACCGGGCCTGTTCTAAACTCAAAATGCTCTAAAAGAGCACAGAATGTCATGATTTTAGCTCCGTTCCTCCTCTGCTCTTTGCCACCTGTAAGGAGAAAGGGTTTGCTGCAGACCAAAAGTGGGCATTTCTGAAGAATAGGCGTTTGTAGAGGGCAAACACTGATTGGCTAGCTGTATTTGCTGGCTCTTTAGGTAAGTTACGTCAGCTCTTTTTTAAGACTGAAAATTTTCTAAGAAACAGCATTATATCTGCTGTCAAACACAAGAAGATTCTCTTTTGTTCTTGGGTTGTAGGCTGCACTTGACACAGGATGGCTTGAATGTGGTCTGGGTACAATGAAATATGAAGCATCTGAAGCAAAACATGCTCCCATTTGTCAAAAAGTCTGGGCTCAATTAAAGATAATGATTCCTGTAGCTAGATAATGGCCCAAAACAAAAGCTAAAAACAAAATTTGCTCTTTAGAAGTGCTCTTCACCTGGACCTATACCTGGACCTACCATTCAGTGTTTGTCTGTCTCTCCTTCCTGTCCTCTCAAACCAGCCGGTCAAAGCAGATGGCCGCTTGTCCTGAGCCTGGTTCTGCTGGAGGTTTCTTCCTTTTAAAAGGGAGTTTTTCCTTTCCACTGTTGCCACTGTGCTTGCTCAGGATGGGAGACTGCAATGAAGCCAAAATTCATCTTGTCTGCTGGATTCCTTAGATAGAGAACTTTACTAATTGGCTTTTATGTGAATGTTCCTGTAAAGTGCCCTAAGACAACTTTGTTGTGATTTGGCGCTATATAAATAAATTGAATTGAATTGTTAAATGTATGATTTGGTAAGGGCAGCACGGTGGCGCAACTGGTAGAGTTGCTGCCTCTCAGTGAGAAGGTCCTTGGTTCAAACCCCGGTCTAGGGGCCCTTCTGGGTGGAGTTTTCATTTTCTCTCCGTGCATGCGTGGGTTTTCTCCAGGTACTCCGGTTTCCTCCCACAGACCAAAAACATGCATGTTAGGCTGATTGGTAACTCTAAATTGTCCCTAAGTGTGAGTGAGAGAGTGAATGGTTGTTTGTCTCGTTTGTCTCTATGTGGCCCTGTGATGGACTTGCGACCCGTCCAGGGTGTACCCCGCCCCTCGCACAGTGACTGCTGGACATGGGCACCGGCGACCCCCGTGACCCAAAATGGAATAAACGGGTAAAGATAATGGATGGATGGATGGATGATTTGGTAAGAAGTATGAAACAGACAAAAAATGCAGAAGTAATTTATTTTTAAAACTTTAATGTACACAACTTTGTAATTTTATTTAAGTGGTACAAAAGCACATAAAAAAAAAAACCAAATGTACCACAAAGCCTGAAAACTAAAAACAAATTTAAAACTGATAATGAAAAATACCATACCATACCACTTTATTTATAAAGCACTTAAAACAGCTACAAGGCCAACCAAAGTGCTGTACAGACAGAACAACAGGTAACGCACCAAGCAAAATACAAAATGAGGTCAATCAGAATAAAGACATAAAATGATGCAGATAATGACGACAAACCAGTGTGGAGCATACAGGATCAAAACACAGATCATCTGGTGTTGAAAGCTACTGAAAAGTAGTGAGTTTTTAAACGGGACTTGAAAACCGAGAGGGAGGGGGCCTGTCTGACAAGGAGAGGTAACTCGTTCCAGAGTCTTGGTCCTGCTACAGAGAAGGCCCTGTCACCTCTGCGCTTAAGACGAGTTCCTGGAACTGTGAAGAGCAACTGGTCCGCTGACCTCAGGGAGCGTGGTGGGAAATACGGTTGTAGCAAATCAGAGAGATGGGGGGGACACTGTTCAGTGATTTGTAGACATACAGGAGTATTTTGAACTGGATTCGAAAGTGAACCAATAACCAGTGCAGTGAGGCCAAAACTGGTGTAATGTGCTCTCTTTTGCCTGTACTGGTTAAAAATCGGGCTGCTGCATTCTGGACCAGTTGTAGTCGTGCAATGGAGGTCTGACTGATACCAAACAGGAGCGAATTGCAGTAATCAAGCCTAGATGTAATGAATGCGTGTACTACTGTCTCCAGGTTATTTTTGGACAATATGGGCTTCAGTTTAGACAGCTGCCTCAGTTGGAAGAAGCATGATTTAAAGATCATGTTTACATGATTGTTAAGCTTCAGGGAAGGGTCCATTATCACGCCCAGATTAGTGACTCTTTGTTTTTCTGACAGGGTTAGAGCGGAAAGGTCGATGCAGTGGTTTGTGATCGTATGTGTGAAATAAACTAATATCTGCAGATATTCAAGATATTTTAATATTTTTTCACTAAAACAATTTAAAAAAAGATTAAAGTATTTGTTACAATTGTTAGACTTGTTTCCTGTTTTACAGTCATGTCTGTGATGTCCGTCTGTGATTGGTCGAGGCTCAACCAATCACAAGTGAGCCTTCCAGTGTAGAGCTCAGTCGGCTGACTGATGTGTATGAAATAACTTCAACACTCTCCAAAGGTACAAGTGCAGTGAGTCGACTACCGTTCTTCTGGAAACCTCTCCGGCAGCGAGAATGGCCCGGGTCTCCCCCAGTAGTCCACAGCTCGGACTCTGTACAGACCCCCAACCTCCTGGTCCACTGCACGACAAAACCGCTAATATGAGCTCAGCTCTGTGACAGAGTCCAAATCATTGCTCCAAAAAGATTGACAATTTTAGGGGTAAAAGCAAGCCAGATACAAAAAACACAGTCATTTTTCATCATTTAGGAGTTGTTACCTGGGGAATAAACATAAGACGTAAAAATGACGTCATCTGAGTTAATTCTCCTGAACCTCCTTTGGTCAGTGGAAAACTCCACCTCAAATGTCTTGATGCATCTGCCAAGTAAAACACAACAAAGGTATGCTTTTATTCTTCCTAATGCCAGCCAACCTTTCATTGACCAATGTTTGATAATATCATCTGACTGGTGGGGACGCTTCTGGTATTTCCCCCCCCCCCCCCCCCAAAACAAATAATTTGATAAAAAATTTTTTTTTTTAGTTAAAAAACCCAACAAAACAACAACTTCAAGCAATATAAAGAAAAGAAAGCTTATCTACCATTTACTGTATATAGGCAAAACAACGCTTTAATGCCTTTGGAATATTTGTCTCTGTGGTCGTGATTATTATTATTATATTTTTAACCTTATTATTGTGTATGGATGCATATCAGATGTTTAACAACCTTTTCCTATAGCTTCTATGTTTTTATATTTTTGTAAAAAATAAAAGAAGGTTTTGTTGTAAGTTACTTGACCACATAACCAGGAAGTGAATCAAGCCCCTTTAAGAGACCAAATACTAGTGTGGGGGCAGTGGAGAAAGACCAGTGTTGCCAGCTTGGGCGGTTTAACACCAAGTGGGTGGTTTTCATTCTGATTTTGTAGGTAAAAATTGCTTTGGGCGTGTGGAATAATTTGTGCGGATTTGGAGTCAGATCAGCAGTTTTTGATTTAACTTATTAAACACATATCAAACAACCATTCATCATTATTTCATAGCAAAGCTCCCCTGACCTTTCTCCATCACTGATTGGCTATTGTCATCTGCCAGGGCGTTCACAACAGAGAACTGGTGAGACGCTGCAATAAATTATGGGTGCATTCACACTAGCCCTGTTTAGTCCGCTTTAATCAAACTCTAGCTCGTTTTCCTTGAAAGTCCGGTTCATTTAGGGAGGTGTGAACGCGCCATCGAACTCTGTCACGGAACAAAAAGGCGAACTCTGGCCCGGGCTAAAACCTAGGTCTCTGTCCGGTAGAAGAGAACTCCAGAGCAGTTCGAGTACAGTGTAAACAGACCGGCCCCGCTCCACAGGGTAAACAAACATGCATTTCTCTGATCTTATATGGAGCCGTCAGCTGCCTTGTGTGGAAAAACAATATTCTCCATGGTCTTCTGTCTCATCTTCTGCTCATGCCAAGTCCATTTTTGAAAAATGACAAAATATAACTCCTAAAACTGCTAAAACTTGATGCCACTTCGTTTTTATGTTTATTTCCAGAAGAAGAAGAAGACGTGTCTTCAGAGGTTTTTGTGTCGTTTCTTTCAGTAGTTCTTGGTGCAGCGCCCCCACAGGCGAGCGGGGGAACAGGTTGGTTCAACAGGTTGACTCGACTGCACAGTGCAGTGTGAATGCAAATGCACCAGCTCAAATGTAAACAAAAGGTCATGAATATTGGTCCCGAACCGAACCGAGTCTACCGGACTATCTAGTGTGAAAATGACCTATGTTAGTTTTAGTAGACACCACGTTGAGTGGGCTGACCCGCTGCAGCTGTACATCAGAGCGTCCGCCATATTGGATGTGGCAGAAATGCCAGACAAGGAAATGGACCGAACTTCAGAAAGCACTGTTCTACGAAGTGTTTTATGTTAATGTCTGTCATTCACACACACTAATATATTTGGAAAACAAACTGGCACCAAATACAACATTTGTAACTTTTAACATGATTATTAAAAATGTTTACCCCTTAAATGTTTAGGTTAAAGGTAACCACTAAAACCAACATATGTATTTTTTGAGTGTTTACGACTAATGTGTGTAACAATATTACTGTGGTGATAAATTTAGAAATATTCATATTGAACATTTAATCTGTGTCTAATAACCAGATCCTGAAATGTGACATGTGGATTTTCTGAATAAAGAGAACTAACATTCACATTTAACTGATTTGGATTAATCACATCAATGAACATGTAAACACCAATATATCTTAACAGGAGGTGGGGGGTATTTTGTGTGTGTATGTATATATATATATATATATATATATATATATATATATATATATATATATATATATATATAAATATATATAGATATATATATAAAATACACACACAATTACCTTGGCTTGTACTGATGTGCGTTCATGTTCAAACAGTAAACATAACAATATTTTGATTGGGCGGGTTTTTGTGTGATGTGGCAGTTTTGAACAGATTTTTGGGCTGGAAAACCTCAACTCTTATCTGGCAACACTGAGAAAGATGTTCAGTCAATGCTCCTGTTATTTTCTGCATGCTGTCTACCTGGAAAATACGGTAATGAATGTTTCATGTTTCGTTTTGTTTTACAACAGATATGACTGAATCTTAAGGGGAAATACATCAAATGCATAAAAAAATGCTCTTTAAAAAGTCCTTGTTTACTGAACCCCCTCCCATCCCCCAACAATGAGATAGTCTCTGCCCTTGTCGACTAAAATTAAATTAAAGTCACGTTAAAAATGCACCTACCTTGAATCAACACAGTGGTCAGTCCAGACAATAAGTACTTGTCCTCTGGTGATCCTGATGAAGCGTAACCCACTGACCTAACCAAGAGGTCACATACAGTGAAGTAGACCCCAAACACAGAACCGCCCGTCCCAACTCACAATGAGTACTTTATACTTCATACAGAACAAGATCAGCAGTTTTCAGGCTGAATGTAAATCTGTGTATTCACAGTGTTTCAGGAAGTGAATGAAACATATTTGATTAATCAGTAATATCTGCTGCTGACCTGGTCTGGTGCAGCTTTGGGCAGGGCACAGATATGGATGAGAAGGATGGAGGGAACAGGGAGTTTGGCTTCCAGAGTCAAAGTGTTGCCAGCAGGAACTTTAAAGGGTCCATCAATACGAGGATCCTAACACAATGATACATCGGCAGTAGCTTAAAAACACTCATCAAAGCAACGTACAAGAAGAAAACCCAGAGATGATCGAGCAAATCAGCTCAGAAGTTTTGTTTTGAAACTAAAACTTGAACTTTAACAACTTTAGCTTATATTTAAAAAGACGAGCTGCAGGTTTTTTTCATTCAACCTTTATTTAGACAGGTAAATCCCATTGAGCCTCGAGGACTCATTTACAAGAGAGACCTGATTTAATTTGTGTCTGATCAGAATTAGATGTTGCAACTTCTAAACTAACCTTTATGTGATCTTCATATTTATTGAGCATTACCTCCACACTCCTGAGGCGTCTGAACTGCTCTGCTGTGGGATAGTTGGGGTGGCCCATGCTCTGCCACAACTGGTACGGGTTGGTTACATTATTGTCCAGGTAATATGTGACATAGACAAGATCTGGACAACAAACAAAAAAACAAACCGAGTCAGGCTGAAATAAAGGCCCTCCCTTCAGCTGGTTTGGTCAGACGTACCTTTTTGCTCGGGTAGGCTTTTCAGGGTGACGGTGACCTCATCAGTGTGGTTGGAGGTGCTGTTGTCGTCACTGTTGTAGATCAGAACAGCTGCCTGCCAGCTGTCTGAACCACCATGAACCACAGGCCTGTGGCTGCTGGCCAGAACCCCCAGCGTCCCTTGTTCACCTCCTGAGTTTAGAACTTGAGCTGGCACCTGGGTCTCACCTCAGATTGTGATCACAATAAAAACAACTTCATTAGTTGCTCAAGAATGACTTGAAATCACCTGTCCTGATTTTGCTGCTTTCCTAGACCAGAAACAAAACCCTGGACAGATTTAATACCGAGCAGAGCCAGCAGGCCCATGACGGTGAGGACGGGCTTCCTGATGAGCTGGACATGAGGGGGGTGAGTGTTGTTGACCTGGAAGCGAGCGGTCAGCGTGCGCTGGGTGAAGGGGTGTGGGTGGTAACTCAGGAAGGCGTTGTCGTTGCTCAGCAGGGTGTAGTTGATGGTGCTGTTTGGGTCAGCCAGCAGCAGGTCTTGGTGCTGCTTGATCACCTGACAGGAGGAGTTTAGATGACTGTAAGGGGGTCACCTAACTTTCATCATCATGTATAAAATTATTTATTTTCACTCAGATTTAATTTCTTCATCTTACCTTCACCACCATGGCAGCATAAGTAACATCAGCCCTCCACTTCTGAGGACTGGACCACCCTACCAGAGGATCGGCCTCATCGTTGTAAACAGGGAGGCTGCAGAACCCGGGAAAACGCTCCTGGATCTCTCCTACCGTCTGGACCTCCTGCTGGAGGATGGGCAAAGACTGACCTCCTCCCTGAGGGACAGAAACAAACATAAGATTCATGAGAAATGTGAGTTTTAAAAAATAGAAGTGTGAGTGGAGAAATGCTGAGGAATAAATGACTTTGCCAAAATTTCTTGGAGGAGATGTAACAACTTTAAGCAGAACACTAACTAAAAGTAGCAAAAGGCTAAAAAGAAGCAAAAGGCTAGATAAAAGAATGAAAAGGCTAGATACAAGAGGCAAAATGCTAGACAAAAGTAGCAAAAGTCTAGGTAAAAGTAGCAAAAGGATAGATAAAAAAGGTGAAGGCTAGATAAAAGAAGCGAAGGCTAGATGAAAGAATGAAAAGGCTAGGTAAAAGTAGCAAAAGGAAAAATAAAAAAAACAAAAGGCTATGAAAAAGTAGCAAAAGGATAGATAAAAGTAGCAAAA